ATACATTTGCAAATTCAAACTTTACTATAGGTCTGTTTAAATGTAGTGATATTTAGCTAAAACTGTGTGTATGGTCATAGCTGAGAGTCATACCCAACGCACACTCTTGAGCGCCAACACATAGCATCGTCTTTGCTTAAACCTTTGGCATTAACTGTTGGAGTTTACACTTTCTGTTAGCAAAATATCTCATGATCCATTGAGAAAATTCCTACGAAACTCTCTGTAATTAATCACTGAATGTATATTTATAACCGATTACATTGTGGAGCTAACCCAATTAAAGACAGCGGCCACAGCTATTTAACTTTATTAAACAGAAAGATGGCGATAACTCAACTAAATTAATAGATATTGAGCTAAAATCTGGTGTGGTAGTAGGTGACAATCATCCACAACACATAGTCCGAGTGCTAATAAAATGCACAAGATTTCACATTATTACATGAGATCTTTCATACCGTGATTTTTACGGTTTGATCAAAATGGCTGATGTTAGTTTAAAACTCATGCACGAACAGCAGCATGGGATATGTAGTCCTTTAAGGAGCGCTAGGCCCTAATTCCTTAATGTTGCACTGACTCGGCCTGGTTGTTTGTGTTTGGGGGCGAAAGGTTATATTATGTGTTTACTGAATCCTATAATACTGTAGGATGAACTTAAAAGTTGTCCATGACCTTTTTCCAAACTTCAAGACTAGTTTGTTAAAGAAACTGATTGTTTTTGTCTTAGAATGTCAGTTTAAAAAGACGGACGACAACTCAAGGAGGCACTGAACACATGTTTGCCATCCCGAGCACCCAGAAACTCCCTTCATGAATATGCCAAGCCTAAATTTAACCCAACAGCGGTGGGTGGGGGGGTGGGGGGGACGACTTTGGCTGCGTTTCCCAGCCGGCGAGCACGAACGGCGAGCGCAGCACAATGCCAGCGTGTCATACATTTAAACACGCTTAAATTAGAGGCTGTTTACTGTTCACCGAGGCCATTCATCTTCCTCAGCGTTGGTCTGCTTCTTACAAATTTGTCAGTAAGAGCTTCCACATGCCAAGAAGGAGGAAAGGGGGGGGGGGGGGGGGGGGGGGGAGGCAGAAAGGAAAAAAAAAGTTGGGGTTATCAGAGGCGGGTTTTTGTAGCATGTCTCTTCAGTCAGCCTGTAGTTAATTAGCCACCTCCACACAATAAGGCCATAAGTCATTAATCACCCGAGCCGCAGCAGAAGTCGACTCGCTGCAAAGCAAGACGTTCAGACAAAAAGTTTTCCGCCTGTGACAGGCTTCAAAATGGCCCCCGTCAGCGGCGTTTAAATTATAGGGCATGTCGAGCACTGAAAGACAAGGGCCCACTGTTTAACTCACTGTTGCTCTTTCCATTGCTTTGTGTGTTGACAAGCGCTCTTCAAAAGAAAATTCCCCCTTCCCGCTGCCTCCCATTGGCTGGCTCCTATCGCAAAGTTTCCCACTTTAGGGTAATCTCAGCATACCGAGGTAATTTCCTGTTTTCTGATGCCGACGTAACCGAAGAAGACAAACAACGACGTCTCTGTGAAGCCCAGCTTTAACTCTGAGTTCCTAACGTTTCGCTTGCTTGTCAAACGGAGGAAATGATGGGCTGATGATAAATCTGGGCCTTGTTTTGAGAAGCCAAAGCCTTTCTCCTGCAAAAATAAACCGCCATGTTTCTCTGGATGATGGACGACACACTTTTCAGCTGACTGAACATGCAAAGGCTCATAATTTCTTTCTGTTTATCTTTTTTTGTTTTTACTCCTTGTGCGCCTATAAACAGAGATTTGCTTTCTTTTCCAGAGAAAGTATGCACAGAGGAAAGTTTACTCAACGCAGCAAATGTTTGTGCAGCTATGGGAAATCCCTTGATTGCATCATTAATACTGATGACAAAAGGGTGTTAAAGTCATTCTATGCGATTGCAGCGTTTGTGACACGTGTTTGAAAGCTGCTTGATCTTTCACGTATGGAGAAGACGCCATTTTTATAAAAGACCGTGGGCGTTCCTGAGAAGAAACGTCAGTTTAGCGTGGCGGAGATGATGTCTGCGGCCTTCAACCGTAACGGGCCACAAATGGAGCAACACATGGCAACCAGCTGAGCTGACGTGAGCATTTTCACACACAGAACATGTCTGCAAAAAGCTGCACAGTGTTCACCCGCAGGTGGGTTTCCTCCCAGTTCAGTTGTGCTGCACTCGATACTCCTGGCAATTTAATTTCATTTAATTAGGTTAAACTAAAGCTTAAAAACAATATAAGGATATAAACTTACGATGTAGTCCAAACTGATGAAAATGTAGACCGTTAATACTGCGGACAGAAAAAGTAGATCCAGTTATGAAACAAAAGTTGTCTGTTCTGGAGAAAATATGGTTTGGTCCGTTCAAAAACTGTACAGAATAATAGAAAATTAAACTTTTGCTCAACTACAGTTTTAGTTTTACTATTGGTGCCTGCTGGTAAAGTTTAACTACTTCAGTTTTAGCTTTTTGAAGTTGTTAAAAACAGCTGATTAGTTCAAAACTTCATAAAAATGTGAAAGATACACCTCTGAGCTTAAAGATGCACGTCAGCATTTTCCACTGAAATGCTGTCATATCAACACTTTATTTATTTAGTGAATTTTTTTAGAATAACAGTATTTTTTTTAATCAAAACCCCATTTGTTGATTTTTTTATATCAGTAAATTGGAGCCATCATAATGCGACCTCGCTAAAAGCCTTTTTAAACTTCTTTAGGTACCACTTCACACTAAGGCTCACCTTAGAGATGGTAATAGTTTATAGATATGTTATTAATTCCTCTATAAACACTTTATAAATCATTAATAACTGCTTATTAAGCCATAATTAAAGGTCACTAAGCCAAAACTGACCAGTTTCTTGCCAAATAGTGAGTCAAATCTGTTCACCTCTATATTTCATCTAGAGTTGTTTTATTAAACATTTCAGACTACGTTAGAACCTTGTAAGCACAATAAGCATTTGTAAGCTATTTCTTTAGCATATAATATTGTACTTTATCACTGCATTATAATTATCTACAACTATATATATCCTAAAAATTTGGTTTACTTAGGTTTAGACTTATTGTGTTTACAACTTAGTCTGAAATGTTTAATATAACGACTCTAGTTGAAATATATTGGTGAACAGATTTGGCAAGAATCTGGTCAGTTTTGTCTGTCGTCCTTAATGAATGCATAATAAACAATTATTAATGACTTATGAAGTGTTTATAGAGGAATTAATAACATATCTATAAACTATTAGCATCTATAAGGGGAGCCTTATTTTAAAGTTGTACCCTCCTTATATCATTTTAAATGTATAAGAGTTTGTAAACTTATAAGTTGTTATATTACATTACAACAATGGATTTAATAGCGATTATAAAGTGTATAAAATGCTCTGTGTTGACTTCTTAACGAAACATTAAACATTTTCTACTGTTCTAAATTTTACATTGAATTTAACATTTGACAGAATGACTGAGGTGAAATATATTAGCATTTTTAGTCCTTTAGAACAGTTTGAATTCCAATAAACACTCGTAAATGCTTCTTTAGAATGACGACTTTGTTGTCGTGGCGATGTTTTGTGCTGTTTGTTCATTGTTGAGACTGCAGGGAGAATATCGACTGGTCGGTGATGTTCAAAATTACATCAGCTGAAACAACACTGCACATGCTCAGATGGCTAATTAAAATACTGCCAGAAGATTTATTATAAAAGCACAAAAACACAGCGGTGGATCTACACGTTCATCCTGAAATTCAACGTAACTCTTCATGTAATACATTCAAATGAAACCTCCTGCAGAACTGAACTGGTCTATTTGCTCTCGCGTGTGTCAAACACCAGTTAAGCTTTGAGAAATGACTTTTTAGACCTTTTTTTTCTTCACATATTAATGTTTGGAAGTGAACAGCAATGCATCAGACGACCCACTCTTCATGGCTGACTGGCGGCGATGCTGAATTGTGGGGCAGCGGCTTCATTATCCATCACAGCGCTCCGTTTAGGCTTCATCTACATGACGGATGGGTGGATTTGACGTATACGACATGTGACTGTGCTGAGAGCGCTCTGACTTACAGAGGACAGATAATGACACTGTTGGCTTGATTTAGCCGATTTGTTTTAACAGACTGATTAAATACTTAAAACCCCTCCTTTTTCTTCGTGCTCCGCTCCTCGTAGCCTCATTAGACGGATCACAAAAGCTCTGAATCTGCGTCGCAGTCGATTTCTGTTTCTCACATCTTTCGCTGTCGCATGAATTTATAATGGGCGAAGTTCAAGGTTCGTCTTTAGCTTAGTTTTTATCGTAAACCAAATCCGTTCACGCGTGCTTAGAGATTCTGCTTCCGTTTTGTGTTTGGTATAAAAGCAGGCATCTGTAGGCCCGTTGTAAAGCTCGTAGTCACACTCTGGGTAAGGTCAACTCATAAAACGATGCGGTTTTGCAACTAAGATGAAAATAACGCGTACTTTTCCAAGGTTATTTTCGAAATTGTAAATATTTGCCATGCTTTTCATAACCCCAGTGCAAAGTGTCGATCATAAAAGTAAGAAAATGTATATATTTATAGCATAACAGCTGACTTGAGCCCACTTGGTTTATTCTGCATTTCAAAAATAAAACCCTTAAGTTTCAAACTGAGCAAAAATAGAAGAATGTAAACCGTTTCAGGGCTGTGGCGCTCTGAAAATATCAGGTGGAAAAGAGGCTCCATGCACTGTTTTGCTACAAAATAAATCAATTCCACTTCTGGAAGAAGTTGCTTTGATTGATAAAAAAAAAATAAAAAATTATTTCACGTCCATCATGCTGTCAAAACGCCCAATCCCTCTGAGTGAGGCAAAGCTAAGATATTTGCTTTGGAGTCGACCTTTGGTTCAAACTACGAAATAAAATCCATAATAAATTCCCATTTACTTTTGCTCAAGCTGAAATTTTGGGATGTGAAACAAACGTCTCCCACGTAAAATAATGCACATTGAGGCATGTCAAATTTATATTATAATAATGTTTTGTTTTTTATTATTTTAGTCACGCTTGAAGCTATCGCAAATAAATACACTGATCCTGACATGGATCCAGTCCCTGCATGAAGTACAATATAAAACTCATTAGGCCTAAATCTCCTTTATAAACGTATAATTCTTTGTCTCTACTGGTATCCTAAGGCCGAGGCCGTCGTCAGTCTTTGTCCATACAAGGCGTACGGGGAGTAATATGGCCCAGTGGCTGCAGGCACCGGCACTGGAGCCCCGGGAGTGGGAAGGGGGCTCTTTGAATACGGGTGATAACGGCTGCTGAGTCCGAGGGGGTGATGGGGACCCCTGAGGGCCAGCGGGCTGGGGCTGCCCGGGCTGCCGTTAGGAGGCATGTGCATGTGACAAGCCATAGCGGCGGCAGCTGCGGCGTTTGCAAGAGAGGTGGACCCTGGATACCCAGATATCAACTTCTCCGTGCCGGCGAAGGCTGTGTGAGTCCGCAAGTGGCTGAGGAGCTCCTCGGAGGAAGCAAAGCGCTTGTCACAAGGTCCGTTAGCCGATACCCAGTTGCACACGTGCGGCAAAGGGTCGTTGGGTAACATGAAGCCATAGGGGTACAAGGGGTGTCCGGTGAAAGACGGGGTTGAGGTGTGCATGCTGTGTAACGGGTGCGTCGGGTACATGAGCTGGTATCCAGACTTAAGAGCGTTGGCTGCAACTGCAGCAGCAGCAGCCGAGTCGTGTGAGCAGTTGGACGTGGCCGCTCCAGACAAATGGCTCGTGCAGTGGTAGCTCAGGCAGTAGGGGTCTCGACACAGACTGGCGGACATCAACGACGGCGGGGATGCTCCAGCCAGGGGGCTTGTTCCGGTTTTACTGCACCCCAAAGAGCTGGCGGCAGCAAACTGTGCGCTTAAGAGCTGGTTGGTGGATTTGGTGGGGTCAAGGGTCATTCCGGGTGGGAGAAACGGTTGCGGGTAACCTGCATAGGCACCCGCTAAACTTCCAGGATAGGACATACCAGCAGAGGGCAAGGGGAAAACTGTATGGCCGGGCTTGTAGGGGGAGACGGGCGCCACCAGTCCAGAGCTTAGAACAGAGGAAGATGATGAGGTTACAGATGTGGAGTCTGATGTAACAGTCTTGGATCCAGATGTGTTTTCTTGGTTACTCTCAGAGGTAATTCCGTTTATCTTTTGGCTCCCGCCGCTCTCAGTCAGGCCGCTTTTGTTGCAATCCGACTCCTTTTTGTCCTCCTTGTCAGTCGCCTTACTTTCAGAGGGAAGTGGAGAAATGGACGTGCAGGAGCTGGGGCTGCCTGTCCTGGGGGTGAACGGCTGGCAGGTGGCGCTAGGCACTCGAAAACTGGTTTTATCTCCACTGAGGCTGCTGCTCGAGTCCTTCTTCTCTGACGACTTTGAGTAAGGTTTAAAGCTCGATTTGTCTTCGTTTCCAATATCGCTGATCTTCAGCGGTCCAGATTTGCTCTCCTTCTCACTAGATCCATTTGAGGCCACGGAGGAGAGCTTGGAGGAGGACGGCGGGTCCGGTTTGCCGATCTGCGAGCACGTTTGGGCCAAAAGAGCCAGCGGGCTCTTCTTGGCATCCAGCTGCAAGGAAATAACAGGAAACCAAATGTGTGAAAACCATACAACACTTGCTCGTGCATATAAAGCTCCAAATTCTCATTATAGTTTGGCAAAGACGGTCGTTCCGCGTATTTTACGCACTGCGCACAAACTTCTCTCCGGGAAAAAAAATCAATGGGAAAACTCTGCATAAACACAAACTGAGCAAATTTCAATCTGACATTAAAATCACATCAGTTTGCAACGACTGATCATTAGAATGTGGAATATTTTCAAATTAAAAGGCTAATTTGTTGTTGTTGTTTTTTTTAATTAGGCGAACAAACAGAAAACAAATCCAACTCGTAATCAGGTGAAAAGCAACACAAACATGGAACACCGATGTCCCTCTGGAAGCTGTGGCGACTTCAGGAGACAGAAGAAAAAAAAATCGACTTTATAGTTTGAAATCGAGCCAATTAATTTCTGCATTCGTGCGTAAACGTAAAAAAAAACATGCATCAATTTTTATTTACCTCAATGGGACTGATGGGGGTGGAAGGTAGAGGCTGGAGGTACTCCGGATGTAAAATGTGTCCTGCACGCGCCGTGAGCATTTTCAAAATCTTTATGGGAAGACGGCTGGCTTGACGAGAAGGGTCTGCGGGAGAGACGGAGCTGAGGACGGACAGTTGGCTGCTCTTCGCTGCTCCCTTCTCCCTCGAGGAGGAGCCGCTCTCCCACGCTGGATTCGTGCTATTTCTCAGGACAGAGACCGTGGGCGATGTGATCATGACCCAATTTTCGTCAAAATGGTTGAAAAAGGCATGTGTGAAGGAGATGGAGCCAAAAAAGAAAAGCACGTCTGAAGGTTAAAGCCTCCTGCAGGAATAAACGAGATCATATATCCTTTAGAGCAGAGGCGGGACGCGTGAGCAGAGTCCGTGCGCAGCTTCCTTCCCCGGCGACGCTCGAGTTGTGCAGCTTCAGGTCCGACAGCGAACTTGTTGTGCGTCTTGGGCAGGAGGGATCACTCCGCCTCCTCCCGAGCCGCGCGTCTTCAATCACTCGGCAGATCACCGCCTCTCCGCTTCCTCCCGATCAAATAGAGATCCCAGAAGGATGAAGGGTTGAAGTGACGCGACGTCCCCCCCCCCCTCCCCTCTCCCCCTTCCCTCACACTATCAGAGTTTTACGCCACGATCATGCGTTTGGATTGAGAGAATCTTTTATCTGCGCTTTGTGCGTAATTTGGCCAAGCGGAACGCATGCGCTGCGCCTCCTGTTTCTCGAACACTTTCACTAAAACAAAACAAATTTTGGAGTTAAACTGTTTTAAATCTATTTTTTTTTAATTATTTGGAGCCAGTTTTCAGGAGTGCATTCCATAAAAATAAAATAAAACATTTCCAAAAGAGAGAGTTGTGGCACCATAGTGCAAAACTTGGACACAAAACACATTATTTTGGTGACGTTGTGCGCATCCGTCTGTTGCTGCGTTGCACGTTTTCTCCAGCTCTCCCCCTTTTCAATCACAGCTGGCGTGCAGGACAGGATACTGACACATGACAGGCTATCTGTCAGCTGTCTGCCTTTTCCCTCTTGCCTCTTCTCTGTCAGATTGAGGTCAAGTGAACCCATAAGAAGCGAAGTGAAGATTTCTCCTTCCTTTACTCGACCGTCATAATTCAGGCCAGCTGCTCTTTTTGAAACTCTTCATATTTTTTTTTGCCATGGCGGTGGATTAAATGTACTTATTCTGCTTGGAATTTAAATTAATATGCATTTCCACATTCATGCAAAATAATAATAATAATAAATGTCCATTCCAAGAGTGCGTAAAAACTCCATTAATCATCAAAGCGTCCACATTTCTCCCCATCCAAACAGACCCACTTATCTTATTACTCAATAGGCTATAAATGTCTTGCTGATCAGGCGAAAGTTAAACATATGCAAGTGTTTTTTGATTGATAACAGGGGGGGCTGTTTTCGGCAGCGGCTGTCAGGCTCTGACACAGCGCTTTGAGTTATTAGGGCAGAGAAGGGCGACCATAAATTTCGACCGTCAGGCAAAAACTCCTTTATTGTGGACGTGATGGATGGCTCGCAGCGGCAAGACACCAAATTCTCTGCTTTCTCCTTAAATGGCTGCAGTTTCACCGCCCTCCTTTTTCTCCAGGAGTAATTCATTACTTTTTAAACAGAATGCTTGAACTCTTCCGCTTGTATTTCACAGGAGAGCTCGTTCATGCAAATGCTCCTATTCTTGGCGATCCTGCAGGAACAATAAAGCTTGTATTGTTTCTAACAATGTTCAGAAGTTTAAGGTTTTTCTGTCAGTCAGTTCGTGTTTAATCACCTGGTAAGAAATGTCAAAATGCACAAGGTCAAAATGAGTTATGTCTTTTGTTCTTCTTCAGATGTGCAGTTTTTTTATTTCAAGCATTGCAAATTGTGGCCAATCAGGTTGATTATAGGTTTTATTCTACCAAAGGCTTTTTGATCGCTGAAGACTGTTCAGTAATAATTTCTCTTTGCCCAAGTCAAAGGAAAGTCCAAAAAAGAAAACGTACACAGGTATATGGAAGCCCATTTCTGCCAGTGAAAAGAAATAAAACATTCAATGGTTTGTCATAATTTTGACTTTCAAAGTCAAATTTTCCAACTTTCAAAGTCTTAATTTTGACTTTCAATGCCAAAATTTTGACATTGAAATTAAAAATTAAGACTTTTTTTTTTTCAGGTCTCTTGTAAGAGTCCCCGAGGCTCAATGGGATTAACCTGTATAAATAAAGGTTGAATGAACTTTGAAAGTTGAAATTTTGACTTTCAACGCCAAAATTTTGACATTGAAAGTCAAAATTAAAACGTTGAAAGTTGAAATTTTGACTTTCAATACCAAAAATAAGACTTTGAAAGTCAAAATTAAGACTTTAAAAGTCCAAATTTTGACTTTCAAAGTCAAAATCATGACATACCATTGGATGTTTCATTTCTTTTTAATGACGGGAACGGGCTTCCGTACAATCAAGCTGGTCAGAATCTTGATCATTTTGAAGAAGGATTTTTATTTTATTTTTTTACCTCATGGCCTTTTCATTTTACTTTAGAGTTTTTAGTAATAGATGTTTAGTGCTCAATCTGCTTGCTGTAATGTGTAACTTTAGGTTTTTGCCTGTGTATGTGCATGTTTTCATGTTTGTATGTTGGTACTGTTAGCAAAATATCTCACAGATTTTAATGAAAATCACTGAAAATAATTATTGGCTTTACATGTGTTCAACTGTTGAAGTCAGTTCAACTCCAGATGGATGCTGCTTGCTTAGACGCCACAAAAACAGCTAAATGTACAGATATCGGGCCAAAGTTTGGTATAGTAGCTGACAGTTATTCATAATGCATGCACAAGTGCTAACAGATTATGTGAGATATTCCAATATTACAAGAGATTGCACATAATTTCATTTTATGATGTGACTAAAAGAGCTAGAACTAATATTTATTTGTTTCTGTGCTGAAACTATGCTTTAAACACACATTTTGGGTCAATTAAAAAATTTCATCAAAGCTTATTAAAAAAAAAGACTATTAAACTCGACGTGACAGCATCTAAATTGTTCACAATTGTATAATTCAGCTCTGAAGGCTGACGGTTGCTACTGGGCTGATTAGAAAAATGCATGTATTAGTCTGGTCTAAATTAGATTGTGTTAAGCGTTTGTCTTCTGTAACAGCAGCTAAACGCATGATAAAGTGTAAAAGTAATGGTATTGTGGACACCTTAAAGGTTGCAGGCTGCACAGGGGCAAGATTTATCCAAACACGATAATAAGACGCTGTGTCTCTGCTCCAGTCTGGATGTTCTGCTCTTTTGAACCCAAACTTAAACCAGCAGAATGTCAGGAAACTTCGGCTCAGAAACCTCTTGACATGTAGGTTTCACAAATGGCTGCGGATGATAAATGCAGCATTATAATGTCAAGCAAATCGAATAAGAAATTCCCCTCAAGATGACATGAAAATTCACCCCTGTGGCAGCCGGCGCAGGGTGTCAGCAGCCAGACAGGCCGACTGGATCTGACAGGTAAAAAGGCGAGATGATGGTTAGAAGGTGCTATTGTTCCACGCCGCTTTCTTGACCTGTCAGGTCCCGTTGCAGAGGCCTGGATCGAGGACTTCCTTGTCACATAAAAACAATCTTAAAAGGCTGTTCTCCAGACTATGGCTCCTGTTTAATTGATTTGCTTTGCACTGAGGCCTGTCACATTAATAATGGTTAAGTACAGCCCCAGCGTGTCACCCACTGCGGTGCGTCTATCAGGAAATTAACAGCCTTAACTAACTGCTGTCTGTGAAGCAGGGCCTGCAGATTAATATGAGATGCAGCACAAGGCTAAAACTATATATATAAAAAAAAACGTGGTAAACTTTCTTCTTTACCTTTTTTTTTCCTACATCTACCACAGTTTCACCTACCCATTCATATATGTCTGCATACATATATATTTCCATCTCATTATGACCAGCCAGCTAAAGTGAAACAGAGAGCTACACTGACAAGTAAGTGGCGCTGAGTGAATAAAACTCAGATTACGCTCCCCGGCACTTTTGACAGGTTGCACTAGACATTAAGTCATTTTGATATTTTTGTGACTGACTGACAGTTATAAATTGCTCCCATCACCTTGATAGCATGGTAATGCACCTTGCATGTGGACTGTCTTTAAAGTGCAGGAAATTAGACTCCAAGTTCAGAGCCCCCCCTCCCTTTCAGTAGAATATGACAAGAAAATAGACTGCTTTTCTTCTATGCCCTGAGAGGGGGGAAAAGGCCCCACAAAAGCTGGCAAAGAATGAGTGGTTATAGGCGAATGTGTCAAGAAGTATTACAGATATTATGTGCTCAAGACAGGACGTTTCAGATACTTAGAAGTCATACCTATTCTTTTTGACTACATCCAAGAGATTTTTTTTTTCTTCTAGCCTCCGTCTGTGTCAAAGAGTGTAGCACTGACTTCATTTGCAAGAGCTCAAGCTCAGAGGTGACACAGAGACCTTACGGGATCTCACCGGAAGTCAGAGGAATCGGCCTCGGTGGGACTTAAGAAACTTGAGGTGCAGCCAAGATCGCGGCGGTGAAGGGTCTTTTTCACTTTGTCTCCTCGATTAGTTAAAGCTGGTCAGGAGCAGAGAATAAAGCCTGTAGAGATGATGGGCTGTCGTCCACTTGCCATCAGGTGGGTGAAGAATCCCAGTGGGTTGCAGTCATGCTGTAGAGAAGAGTTAACTTCACCTAACCCTCCCTGTTAAACGCTGGAACCGCTCGTTCAATTCAATCTGACAGCTGCCATATTACCGGGTTAGAACTTCGTGGAAACTTCAAGGGGCTCATGTCAGAGCTAATGCACGTGTATTTAACATTTACAAGAACAATCGTTTCATGTTTGCCGACAGCAAAGTATGGATCGTAGCTTCAGGTTGCTCATTAGGATTTCCTGTTGACTATTTTCTCATTTATTTGTTAGAAAATAGTAAAAAAAAATGCTTAAACTTATGTTTTTGTCTGGTTAGTAATCAAACAAACACCAAAAATACTTTCAAAATGGCGACATAACGCAAGGAAATTAGGCAAACATCACGTTTTAGCGTTCTTTGCTGCTTATCGAAGTCATTTTTGCGATCACGCCGGTAATTTGTCTTTTAAATGCTGGATCTCCAATCAGTTTCTGGTGCGCTGTACAGTGTGATTTAGTTAGGGAAGCAATAACCATGAAACCAAAATGACACGCATCCAGCAACAGATGCTGATCCTTCACATTTACTTGTCCAGATTTAATTTCTGGAGCCTAAGTCGGGGTGAAAACGTACAGGTAGCATGTTATGACGCTAGAAGCACTGTGCAGGTCGGGATGAATGTCTTTGACGGGCAGATTATTCCGACTAAAGCGGGCCTAAAGAATGATCTTGTCACAT